GAACGATTTTTGCCCAGCCCTACGTAAGCCTATAATTGAATTACCTAAAGAAAACTGAAAACATGAAATATTTTAAAATGAAACAAAATTAGAAGTGTCAATTAATGGATACTATTCATTTATATTATGCACACGCCAAATGCATGAGATGTATTTTGCCTCTATCTCATAGTCAAGTATACTTTTGGTCAAAATTCGAAAACTTCATGGCCTTTAAATAATTAGCAAATGTAACCCGAGATGGAAAATGAACGCAAAAAAATATTTTTTAAAATTCATTTTTTCTCAATTTCATTTCAAACATCTTTTAAATAAAATAATTTTACATTTATTCAAAAATAAATTTACTTTTTAACTACATATTTTTAAATAAATCACTTTTTTTTTTACAAAATATATTCTTAAAAAATCTCAAGCAAGCGTAGGATTAATTAGTATCCTATAGAACATATAAAAAAAAAATCAAAATAATAGCAAATTAATAGAGAGGCAATATAAAAAATTATTTTTTTAATTCACATGTTTTTATTGTTACTCGTGTCGCGAATAAAAAAAAAAAATAAAGAATGAATGATTGGAATAATTGAAAAAAATATATATAAATAATTGGCAGCCGTAGGTATAAACAATATTCTATGTTGTCATGTTTTGCTCTCCATATCATTTCATAACTTAGATGACTAATAAATATAATTTTTGCTTTTATTTAAATCGTTTAAAGTGGACGTTTGGAAGTGCTTTTATACTTAGCCCCTGTTTGGTACGGATTAGAATCTAGTTTTTAATTTAAAACAAATTATAATGGGTTCTAATGGTGGAGTCAAATTCTTATCCCATTTTACTGCATAAGTCTCTTTTCGCTCAATCTTCATTCGCATTTACATAGTGAGTGAGAGACCTATAGTTAATCTCATCCAACATTCTATTGTGTGTTTACTCGTCTTTAAGCGCGGATTGATCAAATATAAGCTAGATTCTAAATTCTTGTAGGAACAGTACTCTTTTAAGTTATATAACACTATTATTTGTCAATGAACACATACGCTTGCATGATTTGACCGAACAATGATTAAAAGAAAATTTTAACTCGATGGCTTGGGTCCTCTAATGCTAGGTCCAAATGCCAATCTCTCGAACCAAATTGACATGGTGCATTTCGCATTCTCTCACATAAATAACTATGTGATTCGAACTCGAAAGTTGCTCTGATAGAATCATCGCTCCCTCAATTTTGATTTGACTTGTGATAGCAACAAAAATCACGAAAATTATCGACAAAGTGCCCGAGCTTATAGAATTCATCTTCTATAAACCCAAAATACCCTTCAATATCCTTCACAATGTTCTTTGATAGTTACAATGGTGAAATGATTCATCAAATTTTACATGCTTATCAATGGATTTAGTAGTTACAATTGTGAAATTTTTTTAATGCAGCCACCGATCACATGGAAAAGTGAGAGTGGAGTGGTCATTTGAGAGTATGTACCTTATATCCCGGGTAGACCATACCCTCGTTTGAATGAGTAACATGAGGATTTGATGAAATCTTGGATGGTTTCCTCGCATTCGTCTTGACATGCGGCAATTTATGATAGTTTGTGGACCCATCTGCCAAAAAATAAAGAATGGAAACCCAAGTGGAAGAAAATGGAATGTTTGGGGACCTAGGTGCGAATTTCCCTATCTTTTACTTAGAATGGTAAAGATGAAGCGGCTCGCGCTCGACTTCACCAGTATGATGCCCCTTCCCATTTTTTCTCCATGTCTCCTCTAGCAGTAGGTTAGCCACCAACGTCCTAACGAACCTCGCCAATATGTTATGTTTAGGGTTCGACTTTTTTCAGTCATGAAACAATTATAACATGTTTGGTAATGTGAATTAAATATCACTTAATAATATTCAAAAACAAATTGAGAATTTATTTATTATGCTATTTTTATTGTTCGTATTAAACATGTTACTGTAGTAACAAAGGTGCTTCCCATTGTGAATTCAACTAATGTAACCCTCAAAATAGGGAAGAACCTTATCTATTTTCCAAGTAACACGATCAAAATATAGTTAGAGAATGAGCATTGATAATTAATCGAATGTGCGAAAAAGCCAATAAAAATAGTATGAATTAATATATATTTATACTTTTTTTGTGTAACTTGTTTCAACGACAAAGAAAGAAAGAAATAAAGAAAGAATTAATGAGTGAATGGTACAAGTGAAAGAAAATAAAGAATCATATGCCCTAGCTACAACCATGTTGCCATGTTTTTGTCATTTTATGGGTTAGACGATCAACAAAAGTTTTTCAACTTAATGCCCAGGTCCTTTGGGGCTAGGTCCAGATGCCAACTTCTCGAGCCAAAATGACATGGTAACTTTTGCCTTCTCATATATTATCGGGAACTCAGCGAGGTGATTCGAACTTGAGAAATCTTCTGACAAAATCCTTGCTCCCTCGACTTGGATTTGACTCGTGATAACAACAAAAATCACGAAACTTATCAACAAAGTGGTCGCACTTCGAGCATTCATCTTCAAAAATTGATCTTAAGACTTCTGTGGAAGAAACCGGTGGTTCTTACTATGGAGATGGAGATAATAGAGAGAATATTGTTTTTCAAGTTTTGTATTGAATGTGGAAAACTATGCATGGGTTCATAGTATATTTATATTGGGAGTGGGTGGCATTTTTTGAATTGAATCAAATGTTACGTGTTGACCAACTCGGTTCATATGTTGGAATAGGTCATGCCATATGATATATATTGCATATAATTGGAATATGTCAACAAGTATGAGCCTCAAGTGTTGTGAAATTCCGAAAATGACCTCATCAATTACTCTCCGTGGAATGCAAATAGCCATAGGTCATTTTTGGACTTTGAATGGGAAATGGTAGAAATTTTGAATTGACCGGCTGGCCAAAATCTTTACATTGAACTTGGAAGTTTGCCCCTTGGAACAAATTTTTGGATAATAGAAATATGTAAAGTTATTTTATTGATAGAACATCTGATTAAAAATAAATTTGAAAAAAAGAAGAATATTAGAAAATAAGGGTCGAATAGAGGTTTAGAAGGCATCATGGATTCGGATTATATCCTAGCCAGTGAAATTACTTTATTATCCTCATGTTTTAAAAACTTCAAAAGATTACAGGTGGTGACCCTGGTTTGGGTGGGATTGAGTCGGGGAAGATGATGATGATATTTTTCTTCTTTAGTTAAAAAAGAACCGTCTTAAATAAAAATCTCACCACTTAATGTCGAGTGGAGGAACGCTACGAACTTGCTTTAGGTTATAAGTTAGAATTATTGAAAAATAATATTGTTATGTACATGTAAATTTTTTTGTTATGCTAAACCAAGTATTACTAGGAAAAAAATATATGATAAAGATGTAATAAAGGAGATTAAAAAAATAAAATAAAATAAAATTTCTACGCTAATCACGGAAACTTTTCTTGATTATTTTCCCTTTGACCGTTGTGAAGATCTTGCAAAAGTTTTGACCGCCCCAGTTTGTTTGTTATTGAAATTTCAAAGTCGTATCAAAATCAGAGTAAAAGTCCCTCGAATTTTGTCGAAAATTTGCTGGTATTTCTTTTGTTTTTAATACTTTTTTGTGGTGCTAAAGTTTCTCAACATTTATTAAATTTTTGGGCAAGAGAACATAACCCTCCCGAACACATCATGCAGTGCAATTATCGATAACACTTTCAAAAATCAACTTATTTAAATATGTGAATTTAAGAACCCAGAATACGAAAATAGTCAATCTAAATAATAAAACTAACCCTTAAGGATCAATTTGATTGCAAAAGTGAAAAATTGATGGAAATAAAATGTTTTACAGAGAATTGAATTGCTTAAAAATTGTTTTACTGAGAATTGTAATTAATTGTGTTTAGTTAGTATAATTTTCTACCTAGAAAATATTGAAAGTTTGGTGTCCGTTTAACTTCTTTTTTTATGAAAATTGCCCATTAAAGTGATAATTTTTTCTACTATTGGGCCTAAAATTTATTCTAATTGCCAAAAAAAATTATCATACCGAATACCATTCGTTTGACTTTGTTTTGTATGAAAATTTTCAATAAAAGTGATAAATTTTTTTACTATTGTGTTTAGAATTTTTCCAATTGCCAATAAAAAAAAAAAAACTGGAAAATCAATTTCCACCAAATTGATTTTCCACAAAACTAAGGAAAATGTGAGCATGTGAACCAAACCAAGAAAGTTTTTTCCATGGAAAAAAAAAGTATCAAACAAGACAAAAGTGAAAGTCGAAATTTATTTTTCATTTTCTATGAAAAATAATCGCATATCAAACAGCCCTAAGTTTTAATTGAAATTAAAATTTGATGTAAAGTGATGCGACGGTTTTACTCCCTAGCCTTAACTTATATGAAAGTCACTATTTAGAATCTACATTGTCGGTTCAGTCACGTGGGGACCGAATTTACATATTAAAATAGATTTGGGACCTAGAATCTCATTTTTGAAGGTTGAAAATCCATAACCACACCAGATCAAAAGTTAGGGAGCACATCCCCACTTCACTCATTTTACAAGTACGAACTTGTAAATATAATATTTAATGTACATTTTGTTAAGATAATAGTCATTTCATCACAAAAATAAGTAGACGCAGTTTTATGCGGTACCATTCAATTCAATGTAACATAATGAAAAAAATAAAAATAAAAATTAAATTAAATTAAAAAAGATGTCAATTTGATATCAAGACCATGTAGTAAGGAGAATAAATAACATGCATTAGAAAAAGAAGGGACTAAATAAGCAACGCTTTATACGATCTGGATAGCATATTGTCAATTTAGAGAAACAACTTTGAAGAGTTATTATTTCTCTACAATACATATTTAAATTTCTTCAAAGAAACTATATCCGTCGTCTTAGCAGGTATCAAGGAAATACATAGAGTACCCTGTTGACAGTCGACTAGTAAATAGTTTGCTTTACGTTGGAATCGAATTTCAAACCTTCCTTATGAGAATAAACAGCCTTTGGTCGAGCTCGAATCTTGCTGCAATTGAAGGGTCCCCTTTAAGCAACATAAGAAGTCCACCAAAAGAAACATACATGTCCCTGAAAACAACAATGAAAAACATGGTAATTGTGAACATAGAATCTTCGATAAAATATGTAAAACTCCCCTTATACATCCCAACCCCCCTCCCTGATGTGAGGTGCACGATTTTCTTGAACAGTAGGATAGTAGACAAATGTTTGTAAGCCAAACTTCCCATGCAAATGTAGACTTAAGGTGTAAAAATATCGGATAAATGAGTCAAAAGGTATTTGAACATACGCTTTAACTTGTTTGTGTGAGCTTTCCTCTGAGATTCTGTACAGTTTCCCTTGCATGACATAGTCAAATTTGTCTGCGAGTGATTTCCTGTTACCCTGAAGCCAGATTAAAAAGATAAGTACTTGATCATTTTGAGAAGCGTCTACCATCAATGGCATGAAGTGCAATATAATGAATCGAACACATAAAATAGAACTGCAGGCATCGTTATTGTCACTTGTTTTAGTATTTTGGCAAGACTACTCGCCTCGAACAACGAAAATAGCTATTGAATTTTAGGAACTAAAAACTGAAAAGGATAGGATTGTGATATAGTTTAATAGATTAAGCCCATTATTTCAGCAACAGATGCTTCCAACCTTTTAAATTTTTAGCGAGGAACATAATACGACAACAAAAACCAGCCAGTTCCTATCCCAATTAAATTTAACTCAAAACAAGTGAACCCTTTCCCAATTCGATCAAGAACCACATCTTTTGTTTCATCAGATATTATGTAGTCCAATCGAGCCATTTTAATTTTCTTTACATAACACTATTCTAACCTTTTCCATTAAATTCTCGTAACTCTTATGAATGGAGATTCTTTAGCCCTAAAGAAGATATCCTAACAACCTAAAGCACACCCTTAATTTATTCTTAGTTGTAGCCAGCAAAAGTGCAGGAATATAGCCTCAAGCCCTCAACTTCTACATTATCTACTCTAGCATAGCCACACATCTAATTTATCATTTTCATTACAGGTATATTCATTTATAATCATTTTTGTCCTTCAAATATTCAACTCTAAGTAACTTAATGCATGTTAATCAATAGTTGCTCCAAATAACTTCCTTTCCAACTTTGTAGGGACCTTGTGATGCATAGAATCCCTGTAGCAATTCTCTTTCAATCAAACTATGCAACATATTCTCTTTAAAATTGTCCGTAAATAATCAATCTTATTATGGAGAACTCGTTCATATATTCTGACTCCACATCATCCTTATACTTACCATGACTAAAATGTCCTCCGGTATAATTTGTTCTAATTATCCTTTACCCGATATCGTTTAATTTCATAGTGCTCCCCACAAAGTTCAAACCTACAATATATCCCACCTGATAAATCTTATCAAGTAAAACCATATCATCAATGAAACCATGGTACCTCAATTTGGATGTCTCGTCGAACGTTAATGCAAACCTATTATGAACAGAAATTCCCTAGTCTTGCCCTCGTTATATCTTACACTTACAAAATTGGAAAAAAGTTATCTAGGTCACTTGCTTTCGGGATAAATGTTTCAATCCCAAAATTCCACGTCCTGAAATTTCTTTTAGCTTTTACTTTTTTACATTACTTTCCCTTGGCTAATCTTGGTTAAAAGATTTCCTTGCATAGAAGCAAAGGGAGCTGGACTAGTGGAGGAAGTTTCTTTTAGCTATTTTTTAGTGAGTGGATTGGGAGGATAGCCTTTTTTTTCCAACACTATTCAGGGATGTTCCATTTACAAGGTTATACAATAAAGTAAGTGATTTGCCATTAAAGAAAGATTTAAAAGATCTACTCAAATAAATAAACGGTTTTCCATTAAGTATATGCAAAAACAAATAACAGTTGTTATCGTACATGGAAAGGAGTTTGGATGTAATCTGTACATTTAGCCCCTGTTTGATGGACATTATTTATTCAAACAACATTTTGAATAGTGAGCTTTTGGAGAATATGGTTAAAAAGTAGAGTGGTTTTCAGTTTACGTACAGAATATTTTATTATGCCCTTGTTTGGTACCCATTATTTTCAAAATACATTTTCCTTTCTCTTATTTTCACCCACACATTCTTCAATAAAATAATATTATACGCAAATCTAAAAATTCTCTCTTTTTTTTTAATCACACATTCTCCAACAAATTACTATTCCAAAATGTATTTTGGGCAAAAAAATGGGGCTCAAACATGCGCTATGTAAATGTGTGGTTGAAAATGAATATGCAGATAAAGAGTTTTGAAATAATGGTTGTCAAACAAGAGCTTAATATTGTGCACTGTATACTAAAACTTTATCTTCATAAACTTGCAGTGGAATCACTTCAAAGTTGAAGCTTCAGTGTAATAATGGATATTGGTTTTAGTGCTCATATGGGATGGTACATTAAAATTGACGATTGGACATCAGTTTATCACAGTGACTACCATGTCAAAAACACGTTTCTTAATTTGATGCTATCATATACACTAATTAATTGAAACTATAAAACAAAAAATTGCCAGAGAGAAGCAACATGTATGAAGCTAACTTAAGCAAGATTTATACATGCACAAAGCCACCACCTGACGTCTTTATCTCTTCTCTATCTCGCTGAGCATATCTTTTCTATTTTCTACTACATTTCATTTTCTTTCTATTTTCCTTTCATGTAAAGATAAGTCTGTCCATTAATTAATATTAAAGTGAAGAATGTAGTCTGGGTTTCATAGACAAAACGAAAAATAGCTGAAATAAACTCTTGGGTACAAATAACATTTCTTCTGTGTAAGTAATCTGGAGATTCTGGACAAATTAAGATATATTTCCTTTAAACATCTTGACAACCACAACTTAGATTAGATTGCAGAAAAAGACTGAGTTAAACTATCGCTGTACGTCGGATGCAAATGAGTCATCTCAAGCTGAGCTTTAGGCTTCTCAAGGCCAACTGAAAAAGTGCTCTGACTTGACATATTTATATATATGAGCAGAGATAACTAAGCTTTTGAAAATCTGAAACAAGCCAAAGCTCAAATAACATGATTAACTCAAACTAGATCTGGTGCTTGATAGCTCAACTGAGATCAAATGTTTCAAGAAATTTTTTTGTTCAAATTCTCTTTTTACTCTATCACAGAGCATGAACAGGCTTTAAACTAACAAACCTACAGCGGTACTAGACTGCCCAAGCCTTTTTATAGCTCTAATCATGACCAAGGGTCAATAATTGTTCAACATTTTTAATGAATAATAGACTCATCAATATTTTTTTGAAGGTCACAGTATTAAAAAATCAGGTACACAAAATTTAAATGTTTTCTAGCACATGATAGCTTCAGTATTGAAAGACAAGAAAGGCAAGCAAATTACTTCCGTGATTTGAAAGGAGTCACTAATAAATCATAAGATAGACTGCAAACTGCAGAAAGCAGCATTAATCTGAGAAAGATTACCGGATTGAAATAACCACTGTCTGGCGTTCCATCCAAGTTCAGAGTGGATGCTAATACCATCATGAATTTCTCTCCGACATGCATAGGATAGATGTCCGAGTTGATATCAAGGACCATGGACATGTCAAACTGATCACTCTTCGCCGTTATTCGAGTCACTAAAGAATACACGAGGATGTTACGTTTTTGATCGAAGTTGAAAAAATGTAAGCCCCTGTTTGAGCCCTATTATTTAAAACTCATTTTTCTCCAAACTCATTTTCAACCGTAGATTCTCCCCAAAAAATAATTCTGAACGTAAACCCAAAACTTTTCCCCACTTTTTAACCACACATTCTCCAAAAAATCACTTTTTACAAAATCTATTCTAAAAAATGGGGTACAAACAGGGGCTAAATTACAAGTCAAATTTTAAGCAGGCTGCAAGCCATAAATCACTGAAGATTAGAAAATAATAATGAAACACAAAGGTAATAACATCATATTCCACACATTACAAGGCAGATGCCTCTCTTTAACCAGCATTTGAGCCTCTTTAAGTACACTAGGAATCTATTACTGCCATTTATTCCTCTAATTTTTTTTATCTCAGCCTGGAGTGAGCTCTAACATTAACATCCCTACATCATGTCATCATATAATGGAACTTCTTCATGGAGTCACCGTGTATTGCATATTGATATCTTGTGTTGGTCCACATGATGAATATTACACTATGATGGAAGGGGAACTTGTTAAATTTTCTGTAGAGATCTAGAGCTCTTCTATTTAGATTTTTATGCACTAGTGGTGCTACATTGGTACTCATGCCAATAAAACACAATTCAACAACCAACAATACTTTCTGGAAGAGAAACAAGCTATCAACTGAACAAATACTTTCAATAAAATTCCTGCTTCCTAAGGAAGAAAGACCATCAAAAAAATTTCCTAGTCAAAACTTAAATAATTAAAATTTAGGGGAAAGGCTCAATGCAGTAGCTAGTTAGTTATATTGGTGGCCTTCATCTCAATAATGTCGTTGTGGCAAGTACCTAACAGGAATATGCACTATCAATTAGGAATCTACATCGGAGGATTTTCTGAAAATTAATTTAGAATCAAATAAATGTTATAACATCCAAAATGATAGAACATAACATAGCCCAAATTTTCAGTTCTCAAAATATCTGCCCAAACTAGTAAAGCTTCTTATATGTTTTTTCGCCAGTAAACTATAACTAAACTTGTATGTGATACTCAACCACCATTCATATGCTCAACCATCTGTATTTATTCTCCCATGGCTTCTTTTAATACATTTTCTGCATCTACAAAATCAAAACCTTAATAAACAATCTCTATCCGTGAAGCCCACTATTTTTGCTCCATAAAAATCACCAAGTCTATTTCTCTCCATACATACACTCGAAAACAAGCGCTACTGTTTTAAGAGGAAGTGAACACTGTAATTATAGATGGTTATGGATGAAATATGAGATGTTATACCTTTATCAAATTTTTTACCATCTGGATTCAGTCCTTCAACTCGAAATATATCTTCAAAAAGGGTTTCCACCATCTTTGCAGCAGCAAAATGCACTAATCCAAATCCACAAAATTTATCAGAATATGACACTGGTAACCTAATACGAACGAAGAATTGAAACAAAGCACGATAAAAACAATAATAACTAGCAATTTACCAATGTATAGTGAAAAAAATCACAAAGATAGAGAGGGAAACCAGAGTATTTCCAAGGGTTGTAGTGTTTACTGAATCGATTCTTACTGAAAGCGAAAAACCAACTTGCCCCCAATGCACATATGAACAGCCGGAGAGAATCAATATTATGTTCTATCAACTTGCCCCTAACGTTTAGATTAAATTGATTTCACCCCAAACTATTACTTTTTCCACCCAGGCCCTCAGCTTTTGATTTTTTTTTTTAAAACCTGGGTATTATGAATCTCAATAATTATTTATTTTTAACTCTCGCACATGTCACTTCACCTTTTGATGCATGCTAACTTTTAAGATGCTATAACACCTTTTTGTGTTCTTCTCGATATTGAAGATTTGAACCAAGGTTCATTTTCATTTTGTATATGATCAATTTTAGTCGTCCACTAATCACATTGCAAGAATGCTCCTGAACACCGAATGGAGCTAAGCGGACTAACTGCAGTTGGCCTTGGAGGCGTTGAACTTAAGCACAAAAAATATTCAACACGAGTTCATTGAAATTTACATGTGCCTAATGTGGGGTGTGATGCACACGCACTAAATAATGTGAGTGTTGTTGGGGGCTTGTGAGGATGGGCCAATGATCGAAAAGACTCCAAAAGTAAACTCGAGACAATCTTCAATTCGACTAAAAAAGATATTTGATTGGAGTCGTTATTTAATGGGTACCGGACAAGGAAAAAAAATATGATGGTGACAAAATAATGGAAAAAAAAATAGATGGTTGGCATAAAGAGAAATATACACCAAGCCAATTTGCATTCTATCTTGGTGCAGTGAACAAGTCTGGGACTTCGTGTAAAATTCAATTAGGTAAAGATATATTCTCAAAAACTCATGTCGAATCAGTGGCGGACCAAGCTTTGAATCTCAGCCCGGGCGAACGTTGACCGGTTAACGTCGACAATCAGCGATCGTAAGAGCGAGATCGTTTATTAATATTTAATTAAATAATATTAAATATTACTCAATATATATGTAAACGAACTAAAACGTAAAAATTATATATATATGAAAACATAATTCAGGACAACCCAAAATTCTAAAAAAATACGCAATACAACCTACTATGTAACCGTTATCTTAGACAACTGCATTCTACAGGATCCCATGCTTTGAAAACATTGCAATATTGCCCCATTCTCAACAGAGGTTGACTTAATTCCAATCCTAAAATAAAGAATGTGTTTTATGATATTTTTACATAATTCAATGAAGTGTCATTATATTTCGTTGGCAATGTAGAAAAGTGACAACGTTCATAAATCCAATACCAAATCCAAATATCCAATTCCCCCAATTCCAAATTCAATTCCAAACCNNTCCAAATTCAATTCCAAACCCTAAATCCAATTTCAAACCATAAACCGTAAATTCAATTCCAATTCCAATTCCAATTCCAATTCCACTTCCAAATCCAAATCCAAATCCAAATCCAAATCCAAATCCAATTCCAAATCCAGTTTTAGTTTCCCCCAATTCCAAATTTCTAATTTCACTAAACCCTAAACGACACTGGAAAGAGGAAACTATCATAATTATAAATCACGATTCTTGAAAATAAGTTAAATAACTCATAAATAGCTAATAACACCACAAACAAAACAAACAAAAACAATGGGTAGAATTAAATGAGAAACTCACGGGCAGTGGCGGTCGGAGCGGCGTCTCGGACTCGCGGTCGGAGCGGAGGATCTCGCAGCCGTTCACTCGGCGGTCAGTGGACGGTATCACGGTGGTGGCGCGGTGACTGATGAAGGAAATAATCGCGACTGATGATGATGAAGGAAAGAACTCCAAGAAGGCAAGAAGATGAAATCGATTCTGATGAAGGAAAGAATCGTTCTCAAATGTTAATTTCCATTTGTTAAAATGGGCTGGGCTCATGGGCTACCTTTATGTTATTTATAGGGGTAGTTACAAAAATACCCTTAAAATTAGTAGTGCTTTGAAAAATCATGTGCAAGATTTTTAGGAAGTAAAAAATACTGTGTAAAATGAAAAAGTGACACAATGTCACTTTTTTATAAAAATTGTCAATTTTTTACTTTTTAGTAAAAAAGTGACACAAAGTGACAAAATTCAAAAAAAGTGA